AAGGAGCTGGCCTGCAGAGGTTAAGTAACTTCTGGAGGCCAGTCCACTCTCAAGCCAGCTGGCCCAGCATTCTTTCCACCACATTCCAGTGGAGCAAACATTCAAGTCTCTTAGAGAGCTTTGTTCTTCGCCTCGTCTTTCAGTTCTGCAAGCAGTCGAACTCCCCTGGAGCGTCAAACAATATGTTCAAGGCCAGCCCGGAAAAAAAATCACACCACTCATTCGAAAAGTCTCAGTGCTTCGTGCCCACGTACTGCCAAAATTGGAAGCAGTGAGAATCACTGCAATATTACTTTTCTTTAATTGTGAGAACATCGGTGTGTGAAAATTGCCATGTGTAACCTTAAGAGCTGTTGCAGCTTTCTAAAAAGCAAGCTTGCCTTTCCAACTGCCATTCAGCCAGGACTGGTGTTCCGTTTACACATCCTTGCGAAGCTCTCGGCTCAAGATCAGACCCACCTTAACACCTACCTGCGGTTCAGAACTGGTTCCGAAGCATAGATGTAAATAGAAGGCTTATGTTGCTGGGGGATTATTACGGCTCCATTTCCTGCAAAGCTGCCCGTCACTGAGCTCTTCCTCTGAGACTGGCGTTTTCTGTCTGTATTTACCCAGTTTGGGTTGCAGGAGCCAACATCAAGATTGGTGGCTTCGTGCCAAAGTTTGGCAAACAATTGCTCCCCTGTTTGAGGACTTATTTATTTATTTCTGAGTGTTCTCTGCGAGAACTGTCATATCAAGTTCCCAAGAGGAAGGCCTGAAATATACTGGCGCGCTGCAGTTTTACGGCCCCACCATTAATTCATCACTGGTGCCATTGCAAGCTTTCGCACGTGAATTTGCAAAAATCTCGATGATGCAAATGTGGTGTTGTGTATTTTTTTTAAATATTATTCGGGTACAACTTTCCTTGACGAATAGTAGTTTTCTTTATCACACAACCGTTCCCAGACAGATTTGTGAGTTTTCTAAATGTGCTTGGTCCTGTTACTCAGGCAACCTGCCCCCAGCGGATTCCTGAGATAGAAACTTCAGAGGCTGCTCACATCTGAGCCACACGGTGTGTGCGTGAAGGGGAGGACTGTTTTCCAGAAATACAATGTTTGGGTTGAAGTGTCTGACAAAGGGACATGGAGAACCAGGACGCTATGGGGTTTTTAAAGCAGTTCTTTAAACTCAGGATGACACTCGAAATACCACCCCATTTCTTACAATCTGGTGCTCTATTTTCTTCTTGCAGAAGCTGCGTCTCAGGATGCAAAACAGCAGAGAGCACAGGGAAGTTTTATTCCCGACCCCAGAGCCATCCTATTGAACAGGGCACTCTATCTAAAAAGGGAGGGTTTTAGCAGCTGAACGAAGCCGCTTGACAAAATGTTTTGCGGGCCTGGGACCTGGGGGTTGTTAGTTATGGGTTGTCATTATTTCCTGGGAGTTTTTTGCCCTTCTGGAAGCTGTACAAACTCTTCCAGGCCGTTTGGGTTCCACAGAATTATTTCATACCTTTGTGGGAATTACTTTATCATTTTAAATCTGAGAGCAGCAAACATTTTCTGGAAAAGGCCAGATAATAATATTTTCAGCTTTGCAGGCCATATGGTCTCTGTCACAGCCACTCAACTCTGCCATTGCAGCACAGAAACAACCAGAGATAATGAGTGAACCAAGGGGAGTGTCTGCGTTCCAATAAAACTTTATTTATTATGGACACTGAAACTTGGATGCCATGTAATTTTCATGAGTCACTAATTAATGTTCTTTTTTTTTTCCTATGTTTTTCAACCATTTAAAATCCATTCTTAGTTCATGTGTCAGATAAAGACAGGCAGTGGCCTGGGTTTGGCCAGTGGGCCATGGTTTTCCTATCCTTGCTTTAAGCCAATTGGCTGATAGAATACAAATACCAACATAGCCATCAGCTTCCTTCATTTATCTAATCCTCAGCAAGCACTCAAAAATGTCAGCTGTTACTGTAATAGCGTGTCAGTTGGGACACATTTGAGACTGCAGATCAGCACATAATTTTTGTACCCAGAGGAGGAATGCTGGTAAACTCTGGATTTTGTGGTGGGATCAGAACTGATTTCTCTGATGTCCCACCTCTTAGAAAAGCCTGGAGTCTGAACTGAAATTGGAGAGTTTTGCATGTGAAATCTGAAACCCCTGGGCAGCGCGGTACGGACTCCCTGCCCTGATACACTGATGTTCCCAGTGCAGGGGGGAGATGCCTCTGCTCTCGGGTTTTCCTGCCATCCCTGGAGGATCAGCTTTTTCTCAGAATAGAAGAAGAAAAACTAACTCCAAAGATTGGGTGATGGCTAGTAAGGATTTTCTTTCCTTCTTCACTCTGACCTGCTAACTCACAAAGATCCCTTCTCTACCAGGATAAGAAGCTGGCGCGGCATTTGGGCTCCTAGCTCTAACTTTGCGTAGTAAAGGTGCTTTGTAGATCGAGAGTACCTTGATAAAACGAAGCCAGTGTTTCTTTTCCTCTCTGCTTGATTGTCTAATGGACTTCATTTTATTCTTCTCTGTCACTTTCCTCCTCGAGTCTTTCTCCTTCCTTCCATTTTCCTTTCTCCTGTCTCTTTTTTGGAAGTAATGATTTGATATTCTGATGCATTCTAGACCCTTCCAGTGACATTCTAGACCCTTCCAACAGTGACAGAACCTCTGGGAGCTTTTCAGAAATGTGGGATTTGGGGCCCCACCCCAAATCTGTTGAATCATAATCTGCATTTTAACAAGATCTCTGTGAAGTCTGAGGGGCACCAGTCCTTGAATGGCCTCATTGCTCCAGAGGAAAAAGCTCAAGACAAACCTCGGGATGAAATAGATTCTGGAGAGAAGCAGAGTTGACCTTCTGGAGATTATTCAGAACTGAAGAGAAAAGTCAGACTTTCAAGTGAGCAAGTGATGGCCCTACTCTCGTGAGAATGAAAGGATTTTTCGCTCTAGCAGTCTTCAAGGTGGAAACGGGTTATCCAGGACCAGAGCAGGAGAGTTAAGGGCGCAGAACTTAGAGCCTCAGTGTAGCGCCCCAGCTCCAGTGAAAGGAAGCTTACAAGCACACATCCTGTGGCTCGGGCTAGGGGTGACAGAGGCCACTTCACTCCAGGGAGAGATCAGAGGAGAGTGAACAGGGCAGTGCCATTCTTTAGCATTCTGGAATACGAGGGAAAAGATAGGATACTGGTGCGTTCTCTGGGGCTGGGGGTGGGGGTGAGGAGAAAGCCCTGATTTGTAGCATTTATCAGATTTCGTGGGGTGCATATTCCTATCTTGGCTGATTTCCAGCTATCAATGTGATGTCACTGAAGGTGGAGTTGGGAAGAGACACAGGGGAGCACACCATACAGATACAATAGATGTAAATAAACTCAAAACATAGTAACAGTAAGTTGTAGTACAATAATCAGGAACTAATAAGTTGTGTTTATTACCTTTGCTTTTAATATAACTAAGTTAATTGTGAGTTTATATAGTTTAATTTTTAATAATGGTTGTGTTGAACAACTAGGTCCAAATATTCCTGAGAACTGGCTCTCATGAGATGGTATGAGCAGGTTTCAGCCCACCCCTGAAAAAAGAGTGCTTTCACAACTTTGCCCTGAAAATCATAGGATGCTTCAAAAGATACCTGCATAGCACATCTGGGTATTGTTCATTCACACTGATGTCCTAGCAAACCTCTGTACACCAGCTGCCTTAGGGGGAAAAATGGTCGGCAGTATTTTACTCTTAGGGTTCATCCTACAAACTTTCACTAGACATTCTCAGGAACATTTTATAGGCATTCTCTGTGTTGAGTTCTCCTAGTTGAGAATTTTCCAGTTTCCAGTTGGAACATTTCATGTGACTTACTACACCCATGAATTCATACGTTCAGAGATGTGCCCCAAAACACCATTTTAGCCTTGTTTCATCTCTTCATTCACAAATTTTTATTGCTTGTTGCTCAATAATCATAATGCTTTGACTTGAGTTTCATCCTATCTTCCGTCGTCTTCAGTTTTAGTCAAAGGAAGATTGACAGATAGCATCATGACAACAGAAAGGAGAATGAAACGAGGTTAAATGCTATAAAGCAAAATAATCAGCTTCCTATAACAGAGCTGACCATTAATTTTCTTAGCAGGAGCCAGCACTTTTACTACATTTCCGAGAATCCTTACTAGTATTTTCCTGGTGTTTTGGATGCGTGGAACTGAGTCAGGCCACCTGGTTCGTTATCCCAGATCCCTCATTGGCTGGTCCCGCACCCCCCCACACACACACCTCCCATCTAATCGCTCAACCTCTCTGAGCCTAAGTGTGCAGCCTGTAAAACAAGGGACTGAGAGATGACGTCTAAGTCCCTTTCAGCTCTTTTAAAAAATATATTATTCTGGAAAATAAGAATTAATTGAAAATCAGATAAAAAGAGAAAAATCGAAGAAAGAACAACTTGTTGCACATTTGGGCAGTCCGCCTGGTCTGTCTTTAATGATGGATGACACCGTTTTAGTTCTCTGAGAGAAATACACACACCCCTCCACCCTCTTCCCTTACAAGGTAACATCGCAAAACGCATCTTCCATAAAAATGTTTTGCATCACCCATTTCGCGGCATCTGAGCTGTTTATGATCCTAAAAGTCTGGTTTCTTCACTGAGTGGGTTTCTGTTTGCGTAACCGTCCTCCCCAAGGTCGTCCTGCGCCCCTGCCGTCTGGTGCCATCGGGCCGCCTCCACTGCCCACCTGTCCTCGCGTGCTGCTCCCGCCGATTGGGCTCTTCTGTCGCCTTCCACGCAGTCGCCTTCTACCCCCACGGGGTCTGCAGCACAAGAGCCAGCAGCCTGAGTGCGCGGCCCAGGCAGCGGGGGTGGGAGCGTGTCCCACGGTGCCTTAGAAAGGGGAAAAAAAAGAGGTCCCCGCAGAGTGCTGACACCTAGGGTACTTTTAAAACGAACTTGGCCAGGCAGCGGGCTTTCCCCTCACTACGCTCTAGAGAAGGCTGCGACTGACATCCCAGTTGGGTCTCAAACGCCTCTGATCTTCCAGTTTCCGGTTACAAAAGTCCCCTCGCCGCCCAGATCCCAGGTGCGCGTGATGTGGTTTATTGTGGCAACAGTTCCCGGCAACTGCCCAGGCATCGGGCGCATCCTGCCGAGCCCTCAAGCGCGGGCGGTGGGAGAGGCTGCTCCGCGCGCGCCGCACATCATGGGCTGCGGGCCTTCCCAGCCCGCGGAAGAGACGAGACGCGTGCCCGCGCCTAAGAAGGGCTGGGAAGAGGGAGTCAAGGTAAAAACAAACAAGAAAACTAACGGGTGTAGGGCCTTGTGCCCCGAGACCTGACGATTCCCACGCTTGGGGGCGCTGGAGTTGGCTGGAGCAGGGTCTGCTGGGGCTCACAGCCCGCCTGGCGGGTGGGCTGTTGGGTGGGCGGAGAGGGAGGGACTTAACTCAGCCAGCGTTTAACTGCGGTCTTAACCCGGACTCGTGCTGCTACGGGGCTAGCTTTTGTGATTCAAGAGCCCGCGAAAGTGGTCACACCCCAGGGCCCAGGCAGGAATAGTGGGATGAGCGGTGTGTTCTGCCCCGAGCAGGGTGACCGGTGATTTTCAGAGGAACCTCAAGGTTCCTGGGAGCCGCCATCTATTATTTGCTTCCGGAAAGCGGGCCCTTCGGGAATTATTTAGAGCTGGAAGAGAACTTAGCAGCCGTCTGGCTGAGTCCTCTCGCTTCTCACAAGAGGATCCTGAGGCCCAGAGAGGTGGACGACTTGCCCGAGGCTGCACAGCTTGTCTGGGAGCAGAGCTGGAGATAGAACCTAATGTTCAAGTCTCATTCCAGTATTCTTCCCACTTTTGCTCAAGGTGGCATCTCAAGTAATTCTTCTGGAGAGACGAAGGGTCATTTTTTTCTAGGATGGGGCATGGAGGGATGGGGGTGGAGGTAGAAATCATTTCTTTACATCCTCACCACCATCGAGATTCCACAGACAGAACTAGGAATCCACAAAGGTCTCTTGGAGAAGGATTAGTCAAAGATAATGTTACCATTTAATTTATCATCAAAAGCAGGATACTCTGACACAACATTGTAAAATGACTATAACTCAACAAAAAAAATGTTTAAAAAAAAGCACGGGATACTCATTTTTTAGTCCTCAAAAATTTTTTTCTTGAAGTATAGCTGATTTACAGCATTGTGTTAGTTTCTAGTGTACAGTATACTGATTCAGTCATACATATATGTATTCTTTTTCATAATAGGTTATTACAAGATATTAAATGTAATTGCCTGAGCTATACAGTAGAACCTTGTTGTTTATCTATTATATATAGTAGTTTGTATCTGCTAATCCCAAACTCCTAATTTATCCCTCCCCCTACTATCCCCCTTTGGTTACCATAAATTTGTTTTCTATGTCTGTGAGCCCATTTCTGTTTTGTAAATAAGTT